TGAAAGACATCGCTAGGATTAGAATGAGTTCCAATCGTAGAAAAAACTGAATTAATAAGCTGACTAGACTCTATCTAAAGGACTGCTCTTCTGATTGAGATGTACCTCTTTAGGAATGAGACCAGATGAGAAGAGGTGATTTGAAAATTGTGTAATGACTGGAGCATTCCCAGCTAATAAATCAACAACATCAGCGAGATGATCTTTAAGTATAATGTATTCTGGAGTATCTACAAAAGAAAATAAAAGGAGTTTAGCAAGAGCAAATCAACCTGTATTTGCCATAGGAATAGGACCTCGAATAGGACTGAACACTGAACAGTATGGAAGCTGATTAGCTCAGTGAAGCTCGAAGCCCCACCACCGGCACGCCCATTTATGGTGAGAAATTTATTAATAATAATGAGATAAAAGGTTTGAACAGTACTTATAACCAATAAAAGCTCCAATTAGACCACCCATAACAATTGCTGCAGTTTTGAAATAGTTATATGGAATGAAATTACTAAGAGCAACTGATCCAACCATTGCTCCAGTTCCTATTCCAATGCAAGCACGTAAAACACCCAATCCAACACTAGACCTTGTATCATAACCTAATAATAATATACAAATACAGATAAAGTGACCACTGATTCTTTATTCTTACCAGATGATGATATTTGTCCAATAATTGGCTCTGGGCCTACAGTCAAAGCACTTACTGCTCCCATTAATGCTCCAAAGAAAATGGACATAGTATGAGTCTCATAGTTATAATGAAAATTTAAAAATGAGCCAGCCATACTGAAACTCACACTTATAGCAGTAATAAATAATAATAATATTAACCCTATCCCCAACAATGTACGAGCAACATCTACAGCAATCCTATATCTAGTAACTCTGCGAGAATGGCCACCTAAAGTATAAAATTCTCACAAATAGGAACATTATTATCATTATTATTATTACCAGGATATCCCATTAATTTGTCAAAAGCTGTGGTCCCTGCAAATGCTCCAACTGAGCCCCCTACTGCAAAACACAAGAAAAATGTACCATCAACACCATTAATCTTTATAATAAATCTAGTGACAGCCATTCCACAAACTCCTCCAAAAATAGTAGCAGAAACTATACTGAGGCTTCGACTTCTTAGCATAAGTCTCCCTGAATAGCCTAGAACAATCATCATTAATTTTTTCTCAGCTTACAATGCCAGTATTGATTATATGGCATATGTAAATCACATAAATGCTTACCTAAAACTAGAGCTAGAAATTGGTAGCTAACTGTTCCAGATGCTGCCAATACATTGATGAGTGAGTTTTCTCTAATAGTAATATCATCTATAAAAAATGCACAATCAAGAATAACAAAAAGAGCTTGGTAAGTATTGGGCATTAATTTAAACAATAAATGATGCTTGCCTCCTATTTCAGATATTCGTTGAACCACAAAATTAACCCCCTCTTCCCTATTGATAGCAAATTGCCTTCTTCTTCTGTATCCTAATAGTTATAATCATTTTCAACAAAGGCAGAAATACAAGACAACAAGCAAGTACAGATAATATTAATGGTAAAATGCATAAAACCCAACACTAAATTGAATGCTTACCTAGAGCATCTTCATCGTAAGGATTAGCTCCTAACCTCAACAACAATGTTGCCTCAAAATCATCTCCTGAATCCGTAAGCGACTTTTCAAAATTAATATCAGTGCTATCTGTGCTCAAAACTGTCTTTCCGTTGACAGCAACTTTAAAAATGCCAATTCCATTCATTGAGTTTCTCTTTGCAATAAGTATATCTGTTATAAACTGTAAAATTGAGGTTGGTATCAGCATCTTAACAATGAGTGATCCATAATCAAAGTAAATGTGACTGAAGAGATCAGCATTTGATCCAAAGTAATGACTAAGGACTCTCTTAAAATTTTCTAAAGTCATTTCTTCCCATCTGCTATGTAGCTCAAAAACAATGAGTGCAGTGTGCTCAGTTGTAGTTGGGTGTGATAAAAATGGTAGCTTTTTGGCCTCGCCTACGCGAGGTATAGGTAGTTGTTGTGTGTGTCTGTCATTCATTCATTCATTCTGTACAACTGAAATTTGTTTTTAATAAACAATAACTTTAGCACAGCGTGTTCTAAGCTCCTAGATCTTTCTTTTTGATGTGGAAAAGTCTTTTTTAACTGTTTTGTGTTGCTCAAATACAAGTGCTAGGTACAGAAGCTTCAAAGTAAGAAAATCGAGTAGTTGGGCCAAGTTCCGTTGTGTTGGCACTTTAGAGATAGCTGGTAGCATTTTTCAGTAGATTAGAACATGGCCTTTAAAAATTATGAACAGATTTCTCTAAATCTTACTTGATGAAGAGTTATACTTACTTGAAATTGTTGAGGTCACTCGTTTGTGCAGCGCTAGAGCAACAACTTGCTGGGTTATAGGTACTAAAGTACCTATACTATCTCAAATATACAAAGGCAGCAACTTCTTTTGTCAGCAAGTTTATCATATATTGCTGATTAGTAAAGAAAAAGTGAAGCTTCTTTCTCACATGGTCTTCTTGCTGCCACTCATGGAATGCCACACCTTTCAATCTACATGCATGGGAGGGGCTGGAGCTGCTTGCATGTATGTGCTGCAGTGCTGCTACTTCTGCAGGTATTCAAGAGCAAGTGCAACTGTAGGAAGCTAGTGTTGAGCAGACTCTCTTCATGCTGATAATCAAACAGTTATTGAAGTGCGGGCATGCACC